ACTAACCTTAACTACGACATGCGTCATATGAATTCCTGCATGAATATACAAACGCATGTTAATTAATGCATTAATTAACATTTCGGGGTAAACTGAATCAAACTTGCGCTAGAAAATGTTCTCATAGTGGCAGCAGCCTATACTCATTAATAAATGATGATAAATATATGCATGAAGCCAGCAGTGTTATGATGAGGAGATGTGCCCTTTGGGTTCGGCTCTGTGCCGTCACTCCTGCTGGCGAACCGGTTCGTCCAGTTCAAGCGAACAAAAAATGGAACCGCAAACTATTTGGAGAACTCGAGTGACGGAGAGCAGGATCGAGGAAAGCGGCAGAGCGCAGGTACGATCACTTTAATCCGGCTTTATGGGGTTAAAATTGTGTTTTAAACATGTATTTAAATGCTTTTATGATGTGTTGAGAACACGACAGCCACATAGAGTCACATAGAGGTTTTCTTTAACGAAAACTGAGTAATGTTTCAGACTGCATATTCAGTTCGGGGTTACACTTTATTTTACGGTGTCATTGGTACAGTGTAATTATATATTTAAGTACTGAGTATTATTAATTAGTAACGTACTTACTAGGATTAGCGTTAGCTGCATGTAATTATACATAATTTACTGATATTATTATGTAACAAGGTTGCTGTAAAATAAAGTTCTCTCACGTGAAAACATGCAGGATCAGGATGCTTTATTTTGCTCTGTCATGTTCTTCTGTTAAAACTCACATCATAGTGTCTGAAATCATTTCTAATTTCTTTATATTGATATTTGAAGGATCAAACACAATCCCCACATAACAAAAATATGTTCTCAGAACGTTTTGCTCATGTTATGTTCAAAACTTTATATATATATATTGTTTATTCTTGGTTATGGGAACATTCCATTGTGTCATTCTTCAAACATTATGGAAACGTTACATTTGAATGTTCTCTGAACGTTCTAAAACGGGCAGTAACGTCATTGAAGTCCATATCACTTTGAACGAACATTCTATTTACGTATTAACGCTTTTTTATTATTATTCGATGCACTGTACATTGTTTATACCAAATAAAGCAATAACTGTAAACATGTAAACAATGCTCTAGACAGTGGGATAAAGCAACAGTCATAATGAGCTTCGCTGTGAGTTACAGGGAAAATAAAGGGCAGTGTTTATGGAAAACAGTGTCATATGAAAAGCCCAAATATGCAAACGAATGCAACAGACAGAGAACGAAACAGAGAAGAGGTTTGCACGATGAAGCGTTCTTAGGTAATAGACTTTATTTCCTCTTTTTACATGCTTTTGTTTTCTTGATTCATGCTTGTGAATGTTTCGGGATCTTTCCTCTGATGTGTGTGTGTGTGTGTGTGTGTGTGTGTGTGTGTGTGTGTGTGTGTGTGGGTAAGATCTTATTCAGGAAGAATCTCACACACACACACACACACACACCAGGTCTTTTGTTAGTTGTTGACTCATGCCGTATTGTGAAGGGATTTGTGACTGTTTGTGACTCACTGTCAAAGGAGAGTAAAGAGGAGAGTCTGATCCCAGATCAGAGATATAGAGTCACTCACTCTCAGACACTCGCTCTGAAGCTCTGCGTTTTTGATATAATAACATTGCTTTCTTTAACTGCATTTTTGTGGAGTAATTGAAATACTTAAGATGCAGATTGTGTGAGATATTGAGACGTGTTTTCAGAGAATACATCTTGAATTAACCCACTAAGCAAATTGATGTTGAAATTGACACACAGTTAGCAGCCAAAAAAACGCTAAAGTACAAATAAAGGGGACCAAGAGCCCAACTAAAGCAAACACTGATCATCATAATGGTGACACTACAAATGAAACAAATATCACCATCTAAACCTCTGCTAGTTCTCACTAAGATCATCTGACAGCAATAGTCAAAGTAATTATGTATAAATGAGACCATAAATGATGTAAAAAATATGTCCACAATGACCATATTTGAACTAGTTTTGAACTAGACCATATTTGAACTAGACCATATATGAACGTCTATATCGGACGTGCAGAACACGTCAAAAAAAGACGTCATAAAAACTTTCATTTTTTTTCTTTTCAACGCCCGACTTTTGTGACAAAGACGTTGAAAAGACATCTTTGGACATCATTTTGCTTAGTGGGAAGTTTGTTTTTCTTACAATTTTTCTTGTTTCCAGCACACATCAAACAAATGTGTTGAGATTTATGTTCTTATACACACAGTGGCCTACTGTTTATAAGTTTGGGGTTGGTGAGATTTTTCTAATGTGTCTGAAAGAGTCTCTTCTGCTGCGTTTATTTAATCAAAAATACAGTAAAAACAGTGTAATATTGCTCCAGTGGAAATCAGCTGTTTTCTATGTGAATATATAGTAAAGTGTAATTTATTCCTGTGATCAAAGCTGAGTTTCAGCATCATTACTCCAGTCTTCAGTGTCACATGATCCTTCAGAAATCACTCTAATATGAGGATCTGATGCTCAAGAAACATTTATGATTATTATCAATGTTGAAAACGGTCCATATTTCAGTGGAAACTGTGATACATTTTATTTTTCTGGATTCTTCGATGAATAGAAAGTTTAAAAGAACAGCGTTAATTTGAAATAGAATCTTTTGTAACATTATAAATGTCTTTACTGTCACTTTTGATCAATTTAATGTTTCCTAGTTTAATAAAGAAAGAGAGAGAGAGTGTGTGTGTGTGTGTGTGTGTGTCAAGTCGTCACCTCTATTTATATAGCGCATTTACAATACAGAGTGTTTCAAAGCAGCTTTACAGAGATAACAGGAAAATAATGCAACAAAGTTTCTTTTGTATATATATATATGTGTGTGTGTGTGTGTGTATAGCCGCATGATGTCATCGTCCAGCTCAGTTCAGCTCTCATATAATGGCGTCAATGCAGGCAGATCAATAATATTGTTGAATATTAAGTGTGTGTGTTTGTGTGTGTGTATGTCATTGGGTGTTTCTGCTTAGACAACAACAGACATTTGGTTACACAAGTGTGTGTGTGTGTGTGTGTGTGTGTGTGTGTGTGTGTGTGTGTGTGTGTGTGTGTGTGTGTGTGTGTGTGTGTGTGTGTGTGTGTGTGTGTGTGTGTCAAATATTCGCTGTATCCAGTTCATCCTGTTCACGTAAATTCACTTTGAACGTGACATCAGAAGCTTTTGTCTGTTTCGTCCAGAGACAGACACTATACACACGTCACAGCTGTTCTCGTTTTCTTTATTTTTAAATGTGATTTTATTTGTTTGTGTTTATCTTGTAAGGAATAAGGTGTGATGTCTGTTAATGTAATATTGAACTTTGTAATACTGAACTTTGCCTCTCAGAAGAACTGTAGTGAAATGAGTGCATTTGCATGTGTGTGTCAGTGTGTGTTTGAGCTGTTCTTGTTTGAGCATGTTCATTTACCACACACTTTTAGTAACATACAGTGCATTCAACGTATAAATAGGAAGAAGCGCAGGTGTACTTTATCTTAGATCTGATTTGGCAGTGAAATGACATGTTTCTCATTGTGTTTCATTGTAAACCTGTCGTCACTCAGAGCCGGTATATTTAGTGACGTTTCCAGCACACAAAGGTTCTTCAGGGCCGTTGATGCTTCCGTTGCACAAAAGGTTCTTAATAGCAGAATAACGTTCTGTAGATTATTAAAATATACTTCAGAGTAAGAGTAAAATGGTTCTTTTAAACTCTTATAGGTTCATTTTGACCCCTATTCAATCGTCCATGCCTGAGACACTGGTTACACTGTTTATTTCCACTGGAAATTAGGTGAATATATTTTTAATCTAGGCTCATGAACCTGCATTTTTGTACATTTGGAAAGGCAGTACAAATGTTTGAACATTTATGTTGGGGTCATATTGGATTCCATGCATCAGTGACAAAATAAAACACTTTAGAAAAACAGCAAAAAAGAGTCAGGCAAAAACATCACAAAAACAGAAATCCTTTATTGTAGCTTCTCAAACACAAATGTAAGACTCAAAAATGTACGACTGATTCATCCAGTAAGAATCCGCCATTTCTCGTCAGTTTCACAGCCGAATCTGTCAAAGGATGTTTCTGTTTGTGTGTTTGTTGCGAGACTGAAAAGATTTGTAAGAACCAGTTTGAGGACCAGACATAACACAAATGAAGAGGGAGTACACATAGCAATAAATACTTACACAAGTGCAAATAATGATAGATACTATTTATAATTATTATTTACTCCTCAGTGTGCAAATATCTGTCTGTGATGCTAATTAAATATGCGGGTCAAATTGACTCCGAACACAATAGAATTACATGAAGTTGTACATTTATAGTCTTTGACAAGCAATAGAGGTTTTCTGTTTTTACATGAATAGATAATAAGGTTCATTAATGTATTAAGTCAAGTCAAGTCATCTTCATTTATATAGCGCTTTTAACAATGGAGATTATTTTATAGCGATTTTTGAATAATGTTATTTCCAGCTAAAGTTGGTTGTGATTGATTCACTTCCAGCAAAATGATCATTTGTTATTACATTAGGGGCCACTAAGACGACGGCGTTCTCTCTAAACAGACTTTAAACGCGAACCTGTGACCGGATGGCGTTAAATTAACTAACATGAACTAGCAATACATGTGTTACAGTATTTGTTAATCTTTGTTAACGTTACTTAATAAAAATACAGCTGTTCATTGTTTGTTCATGTTTATTCACAGTGCATTAACTAATGTTAACAAGATTTTAATTAAGTATTAGTAACATTAACAAAGATTAATAAATGCTGTATAAGTGCAGTTCGTTATTAGTTCATGCTAACTAATGTAGTTAACTAATGTTAACTAATGAACCTTATTGTAAAGTGTTACCCATGAATCTTAAGTGTTTTTCATAGTGTCGGTTTTTGGCGAATTGAACCAATAGGTTTCGATTTGACCCTTGTTTCTCTTGCTGATCTTCTTTTACCATTGTGTTCTTCAAGGGCAGATGTAATGGCTTACACATCCAGAAGCGGAGCTTCCCTGCATGGATTCACTTCAGAAGACCAACAAGTACCTTTTGAAAACCTCTGAAAACATTCATTTGTGAAACAATTGCATCTGCTCTCAAACCCCCAGACTTTCCCTGATTTGAATTGGACGATGTAAGTTTTCTTCGGCAGACATTATTCATGTCTATGTATTGAGTGTGCTCAATGAAGAACTAATCAATCAGGCTCTTGGCGTCACTGTACAAAATGATCGTGATTTTAACGGTAAAATACCGTAAAAATGCTACAGTGAAAAACTGTTAATTGGTTAACAGAAAGTTTCCGTACTACTGTATGAATAACTGTGATAGATCTAATCAGACATTTAATGTAATTTTACAGTAAAATACCGTTAATTTTACAATTTTTGGAAGTGAAAAAGAACAAGTGATTGTATAATTTAAACCGTAAATTGACATTCCCACAATTCCCTGCGAGACACTTCACATTTGATGTATTTTTGTATATGTAAATTAGGGTGTTATGTTACATTTAATGTTGTTAAATTAATGTTTACTGCATTTTTTAAATTTCATGTGTGTTACCATGATGGTGGTTTAGTGTGTGTGTGAATGACCCCATGAAGCTTCTGTATATTACTATTAACTTTCTTGTGAAAAACTGCATGTGTTGAGCTATGATTCATCATGTGACTCTCATCTCCACTGTGATTGGTGGTTGTCAGTGTATTACAATGGTACAAAACAAATTAGCACATCAATAGGTCAGTAAATTAACATAATATCAGATAATGAAATTTGTTTTTTTTTTTACTGTAACTTTAAGTTAAGTCTGTAAAACCTAAAATGTTGCTACCGTATAGATAGGTAGATTTCCGGCAACCAGTTTTTTACCGTAAATTTAACAGATTTTTTTTTTACAGTGCACGTAAATAGAGGCACAAATAATCCCCACCCGTAATGCTGGACAACACGAAGGTTTACGTCGAACTGGGTGTCGCCAAGCTGGAGAACGCCCCCGAAGCCCTGAAACCTCGCAAGTCGTGCCTCGGAGGGGGTCGCGATCCCAATGAGGAGAGCTCCACAAATGCACTCAACACAAGCACTTCTTCCTCTCGAAACGCCTCAGAATGGGCCGAACCCGACGTCATTGACAGTAGGTTTAGTTTGGCGACCGTATCTGAGACTTCCAGGACTTCCAATGCCACCGTTGAGGGTTCTCCAAGCTCTCAAAGCAGGTTCCTCGTGGCTCCCGCAGACGACGAGCCGCAGGAATCCCACCGGAGCTGCGGGTGTGTGATGGCGTTCCTGCGCTGTCTGGAGGAGACGCCGCTAATGGTGTCGGGACTGTTCCTGACGGTTCTCTTCTGCGTGACCATCATCGTCATCATCCCGTCCACCGGCAGGGTAAGCCGAGGAGACTTACAGACTGCAAGTTAATGAGTTGATTTATCCGCGTTTTAATATGCTCTCGTTCATGGAGATTTTTAGATGGATATCGAGGCTTTTTAGGTTGTGTGGAACCCAGTTTGTTTGCTCGTTTCCATGGCTGCGTTACGCTGTGTTTTCTGCCAACCGGTGAGTGTCGAACCACCATTGGCTGAACTGGCAGTGGGCGGAGTCACACAGACCAAAACAAAAGTTACATACAGCACCTTTAATTAAGACCCGGAGTCAGAAATGCACTCAATTTAAGACAAGAGTCAGAATTATAATAAATTGAAGACATTTTTTAGCCAATCTCCAATAATGCCACTTGTTCCTTAACCTGTAACCAAGAATACTAACACACACACATACCGACACACAGCTTCTTCAAGGTTGGATTTGGTCGGGCTCTAACGATAAACAGGAGAGTCTTCTCAAAATTTTAATCTAACAGTAAAGTCAAGACTTTAAACTTAAAACGAGACCATATTTCATTTCTGGAAGCCGGGCTAAATGAGCAAGAGCCTCAGTCACCTCTCAGATATTTAATAAACACATGAAAAGAACATTTCAGTAATCACACTGGTAACTTCTATAACTAAGTAAAATCTTATTAGCCTAGATAAGTCATTCAACTCATGTGATATTTAGAAGGAAAAATATTGATGAATACCTTGATCACTCATTAGATATACATTGAAGCAGAGCTTCAGAGCAGTCGCATGTCCAGCGGGTGTGTGTTTCTCACTGAAGGTTTCGTGTCTCGCTCCCGCAGAGCCTGGGCGCTCATGTGGCGGCGTTCGCAGTGGTGTGTGTGGTGGTGTGTGTCTGCGTGGCTCTTCTGGCGTGTTTGCCGTGTTTGCCGGTGCTTCGGCGGGGAGAAACGCCACTCGCGCTCTTCATCTGGTCTCTGCTCCTCATCGTCGCCTTCGTGTTCGTCTTCACCGGAGGCGTCGTCACCGCCTGGGACCAGGTCAGAAGATCACTTATTATGGGTTTTAGTTTACAAAACAGGTTTACATTACACTATTTTGTCTTTTTTTAAGCCAGAAATATGCTTTATGCAAATCATTTTCATTTTAAATAAAATTTTTGTAATTTTATTGTGTGCTTTTGTCATATATAATTATTTAATAATAATAATATATACATATATATAATTTTTATTAAGTTAATTTATTTATTTAAATTAATTGATATATTTTCCATTTTCATTTTAGTTAAAATTGTAGTAACTTTGTTGTGTTTTGTCATTTTTATTAGTTTTTTTTTAATGTCTATATAGTTTTTATTAATATTTTAAATTAGTTTTTATTTATGTATTTTTGTTTTCAGTTTGTTGCGTGCTATTGCCATTTTTATTATTTTTAATGTCTGTAGTTTCTATTAATATCTTAATTTAGCTTTCATTTCAGTTTTAATTTTAGTTAATGTTTATAAAAATGTTATTCATATTTTAAATTCATTTTAATATTTTGTAGTTTTTTGTTATTTTCAGAGAATTAAAAAAAAGTAAAAAAAAAAAAAAAAAAAAGATCGCCTTGACAACTGGCTGAAATAAAATAAGTTTGTTTTTTTATATATGTATTTTAGTTAACGTTTATTTAATTTCAAGTAACAAAAACACAATTTTATGGTTTTAGTTTTTGGTTAACAATAATAACCCTGCTGTAAATTTGAGAAATACTGATTTTAGCCTTTACACCTGCTGTTTTTCATCTTCAGGTCGCGTTCTTCCTCTTTCTGTCACTGTCCGTTTATACGGTTCTTCCTCTCAGGCTCTCATGGGCTCTGAGCTTCGGCATCGGAGTGAGTGTTTGTCACATCGTCACCATCAGTACGTATGTGTCCCTCACCAGTCCGCAGACACGTGACCTTGTCGTGCAGGTAACACACACACACACAGACACACACACACACACACACAGCAGTACAAACACCTGAACGCTTCATGGCTGGTCAGAGGAAATGTTACATGCAAAACCTGTTCAGCGGAGGCCACCGGCTGATTTGCCTGTCACCACAACATATTCAAAACCTCTTTCTGTGTGTCTCAGTTGGTGGCGAACGCAGTGCTGTTTGTGTGCGTCAACTGTGTTGGCATGTTTCACCTCTGGCACACTGAGCACGCTCACAGGAAGACCAGCAAGAAACGAGAAGATTTCAGCAAAAACCGCTCCACGCAGGCCAAACAGAAACGCGATCAGGTACAGATTCCCATACATGTGTATATAAGTGATTTGAAACACTCTGCTCACGTGAAGCTGCTAAGTTAACACACATAATAATAATAGCACTAATAATTGTTTTTATTATTTTCAAATGATTTTTTTAACTTTATTTTATTAGTAAGTTTTGTATTTGTTTTCATTTTTGTTATTAATTTGATCATCATATGGCACCCGCAGCCGTGGTCACGGTGCTCTGATTGTTGCATATGAGACCGCTTCAGCACTGGCTACACGGCCGAGTCCTGAGATGGGCATGGCGCCGTGGCACACATCAGGTGACCATGACACCGATCTGCCGCCGCACTTTCAGCCCGTGGCTTTCACCTTGCCTTTCTACAGGCCGGAGTGCCCTTAGAACAAGTGTCCAGGCACATTTTTGTCACAACAGATGCCTCCGGAATGGCTCGCCATCTCCTCCTCTGGAGTCAGCAGCGGTTCACGTTGCTCCGTGCCATTTACATTCTGGGCGAGCTCAATCATGCAGCCGACATGCTCTCATGACAGCTCACACTCCCTGGAAAATGTAGACCTCCCCCCACCCCACTCCACCCCCCAGGTGGTACAGCTGATCTGGAGTCGATTCGGAGACGCACAGGTAAACCCATTTGCCCCTCCAGAATCTTCCCATTGCTAGCTTTTTTACTCCCTGCAGGGAGTAAACCTTAGCAGGGATGCTCTGGCACACAGCTGGCCTCGGGGCCTATGCAAATATGTGTTTCCTTCAGTGAGCCTTCTCGCACAAACACTGTGCAAATTCAGGGAGATGAGGAGCAGGTCTTGATGGTTGCGCCTTACTGGCGCCTTAGCTTACTGGATTCCCCTGAGGAAGGACCTTCTTTCTCAGGGACAGGGCACCATATGGCACCCGCGTTCAGAAATCTGGAACCTCCACCTATTGCTTCTAGATGGGACGCGGCAGACTTAAGTGGCCTGTTATAGGAGACACCATCACTTAAGCCAGTAAGAACGCTTTCTTACTCTCCAGGTGAGTTCCCCACTTGGCAAACCCTGGATGAAGTTTCCTCCAAGCATCCTTCGGCAGTCGGACGCCAGGCCCAGTACTTGAGTTGCATGCCCAGTTGGTCAGTCCCTGTGCTGGGCTAGATGCCCCATATGTTGCGATTCCCTCTGGGTAATACCATATGTGTAATCTTTCACAGTACGGTTCCCCTGTCTGCAAACCCATGTCTTTCCCTGGGCAGATTTCGCTCTGCTCTGTCTCTGCGTCTGTAGTGGTTCCATCCCTGATCTTCCATATGTAGCACTGGCTTATGGGTTTGTCCATATTTGTATCTTCAACATGTTGCCTCCGTAGCGTCCCTTTCCATCTGGACTCGGCACGCTTCACAAGTGTTATCCAACCATTCGGGGCTGAATAGGGTTAAAGAGAAAGGAACAGCAGCTATCGACCTTCCCCTTGAAAAGTCATCCCACCAGGGATATTTGCCTTACATGGGCTCTGGGAAGGGTCAGCAGTTGTGTCGCTTTCCATAGGGACTCCATAACGTCAGTATTTCGACTTAAGCCCCTCCTGAAAAAGAGCAATCTGGATAAGACCATCTTAAGCAGCTATAGACCGATCTCAAATCTTCCTTTCAAAGGCAAGATCATTGAAAAAGTTGTCTTCAATCAGCTGAACAAATTCTTAAGCTTGAATGGATACTTTGACAATTTTCAATCTGGTTTCCGATCGCATCACAGCACAGAGACAGCGCTCATAAAGATAATAAACGATATTCGCTTAAATACTGATACAGGCAAATTATCAGTACTGGTACTACTCGACCTCAGTGCTGCATTTGACACTGTCGATCACGACAGACTTCTTGACAGGCTGGAAAACTGGGTGGGGCTTTCTGGGATAGTCCTAAAATGGTTCAGGTCATACTTAGAAGGGAGAGGTTATTATGTGAGTATAGGAGACCATAAGTCTGAGTGGACATCCATGACATGCGGAGTCCCTCAAGGCTCAATATATTGCAGATATGCTCACTGAATATAAACCTAACAGATCACTCAGATCATTAGGATCACATCAGCTAGAAATACCAAGGTATCACTCTAAGCAAGGAGAGTCTGCTTTTAGCTATTATGCTGGACCAGCTTCCAGAAGAGATCAGATGTGCTCCTACAGTAGTCACATTCAAATCCCGACTCAAAACACTTCTGTTTAGCTGTGCATTTACTGAATGAGCACTGTGCCACTGTTCGTCCGACTGTTTTTACTGTACTTTATTTTATTTTTTATTCTAAACTGTTTTAATTATTCTTATTTGTTTTGATTATTTTAATTTCTTCTATGTAAAGCACTTTGAATTACCATTGTGTATGAAATGTGCTATATAAATAAACTTGCCTTGCCTTGCCTTAATGTAGAACGTGACTGACTGAAAGGGAATGTCTCAGGTACTGTCGTAACCCTTTTCCCCTGAATAAGGGAACGGAGACATTATGTCCCGCCTGCCACAACCCTGAACCACCTGCTGAATGTTGGGATCCCGTCTAAATCTGAAGAATTAAATTAAAAATTAAATTAAATTAAACATAATAGTCCCTTGTGATGCGTTTGCTTAAACAGAATAGATTTAATTCTTAGTGAAATAGTCTCTAACCAGTTTTACTCTTTTACCGGTTAACCCGTGTGTTCAGGAGCATCTCCTGCTGTCAGTCTTGCCTCGATACATCGCCATGGAGCTGAAGACTGAAATCGTCAAGCGTCTGACCAAATCATGTTCCGCTGAGGACAATAGACCTAATTTCCACAGTCTTTACATCCGACAGCACAGAGACATCAGGTGTGACACACACACACACACACTCACACAAACTCTCTCTCTCTCTCACACACACACACACACACTCGTGTAGCAAATTAGCTCTAAAGAAATATTAATAATCAATCATAACTTGTTATAATTGATTATGAATATTTGGATCTGTTAATAGAAATAACTTAATGTTGTAAATTAATATTACAATAAATTAACCTATTTGTCCCGTAAACACTCACTGTTACTTGTTTATTAGTTCTAAGAAATGTACATTTCCGGGGTATGGGGAATGTCTTTCTTACTTTACAGTAATACTAAGAGCAAGTAGTCAAAATCTGCATGATTAGGGACTCGGACAACTTTACGTGTGACATGAACAAGAAGATGTCACACCCTTTGGAGGGCTGTAAGCCAATAAGAAGTTGTTCCCTTTGGAGGGAATTTCTTTGACATCTTTGTTCAAGCAGGCCTTTGAACATGTAATTTGATTGGGTGTTTAACAAAAGAATCTTCAAGATTCTTATTATACTAATGCGTCACCAAGTTAGCAAAATGTAATGTAAATTAACAAATGGGGGACGAAGATTGGAGTTTATAGAGACTAAACATGCTACACATATGATTTTGGTTAACCATAGTATGCAAGTCTGAAGCATTATTCCAAAAGAGTTTAAAAGAGAGAGTGAAAACATTAGGCGAAAACACAGAAAATTAGATGCATGTTTATACATTTCTCAAGTGGTTATATATAGAATATATAGGATTAAAAGGGTTTATTTCTCCTTCTCAGCAAGAGTTAAGTGAGAGTCACAACCCTCTGCAAATTCCTTTTGGGGTCGTAAAACTCTTATCAGTCTTAATGTGTCCTGTAATGGACACCGAGTTCTGCCAGTGTTGGCTTCATTTGGGATGTTAGTTTTGGGGAAAGTTTCATAGACCTTTGTTGGGAGAGTGAATTTGCTGGATTATACATTAAATATAATTAATAATTTGTGTGTTTGATTGGTCCAGATGCTACACACACATACACACTCACAAACCCCCACACACACAATTACTTTATGTAAATCAAAAGTTTGGAATAATTAAGAATTTTGGAATGAATATATTTTCTAATAAACAAGGCTTTTTTTATACACAGGATCAAATTACATTTTAATTTGATCCTGTGTATAAAAAAAGCCTTGTTTATTATTAGCGCACACTGGTTGAAATAAACCCGTGGTTATGATTCTGCAGTATCCTGTACGCTGATATCGTGGGCTTCACACACCTGTCCGGCACCTGCACACCTGAGGAGCTCGTCGCCGTTCTCAACAAACTCTTCGGCAGGTTCGACGACACCGCCAAGGTGAAGACATCCCCGTCACTGTTGCTCTGTGGATCTTCTCTCGTGTTTGACTCCTTTCTGATGTTCCTCTCGCTCTCTGTAGAAGAACGGCTGCTTGCGTATTAAAATCCTGGGCGACTGTTATTACTGCGTCTCTGGTCTTCCCGATCCGATCTCTCATCACGCTCGCAACTGCGTTCAGATGGGCCTGGACATGTGCAGCGCCATAAAGTGAGTCCCACCATCACAAACACATCTTCTGAGCAGTGTTTCTGGCCTTAAAGCGATCCTAGGTGAATATGACATTCTTCTCTCAGACGAATACAATCAGAGTTATATTAAAAAATGTCCTGGCTCTTCCAAGCTTTATAATGGTAGTGAATGGCCGGTTTCTGTTTTGATTAAAAGTGCATCTATCCATCATAAAAGTTCATCTATCCATGATAAAAGTGCATCTATCCATGATAAAAGTGCATCTATCCATCATAAAAGTGCATCTTTTATGTAATGTATTCATTACATTAATAAATGTAATGAATTATTATTATTATTATCTATCCATGATAAAAGTGTGTCTATCCATCATAAAAGTGTATCTATCTATCATAAAAGTGCATCTATCCATCATAAAAGTGCATCTGTCCATCATAAAAGTGCATCTATCCATCATAAAAGTGCATCTATCCATCATAAAAGTGCATCTATCCATCATAAAAGTGCATCTATCTATGATAAAAGTGCATCTATCCATCATAAAAGTGCATCTATCCATCATAAAAGTGCATCTATCCATCATAAAAGTGCATCTATCCATGATAAAAGTGCATCTATCCATGATAAAAGTGCATCTATCCATGATAAAAGTGCATCTATCCATCATAAAAGTGCATCTTTTATGTAATGTATTCATTACATTAATAAATGTAATGAATTATTATTATTATTATCTATCCATGATAAAAGTGTGTCTATCCATCATAAAAGTGTATCTATCTATCATAAAAGTGCATCTATCCATCATAAAAGTGCATCTGTCCATCATAAAAGTGCATCTATCCATCACAAAAGTGCATCTATCCATCATAAAAGTGCATCTATCCATCATAAAAGTGCATCTATCTATGATAAAAGTGCATCTATCCATCATAAAAGTGCATCTATCCATCATAAAAGTGCATCTATCCATCATAAAAGTGCATCTATCCATGATAAAAGTGCATCTATCCATGATAAAAGTGCGTCTATCCATGATAAAAGTGCATCTATCCATCATAAAAGTGCATCTATCCATCATAAAAGTGCATCTATCCATCATAAAAGTGCATCTATCCATGATAAAAGTGCGTCTATCCATCATAAAAGTGTATCTATCCATCATAAAAGTGCATCTATCCATGATAAAAGTGCATCTATCCATCATAAAAGTGCATCTATCCATCATAAAAGTGCATCTATCCATCATAAAAGTGCATCTATCCATCATAAAAGTGCAACTGTCCATCATAAAAGTGCATCTATCCATGATAAAAGTGCATCTATCCATCATAAAAGTGCATCTATCCATCATAAAAGTGCATCTATCCATGATAAAAGTGCATCTATCCATGATAAAAGTGCGTCTATCCATGATAAAAGTGCATCTATCCATGATAAAAGTGCATCTATCCATCATAAAAGTGCATCTATCCATCATAAAAGTGCATCTATCCATCATAAAAGTGCATCTATCCATCATAAAAGTGCATCTATCCATGATAAAAGTGCATCTATCCATGATACAAGTGCGTCTATCCATGATAAAAGTGCATCTATCCATCATAAAAGTGCATCTATCCATCATAAAAGTGCATCTATCCATGATAAAAGTGCGTCTATCCATCATAAAACTGTATCTATCCATCATAAAAGTGCATCTATCCATGATAAAAGTGCATCTATCCATCATAAAAGTGCAACTGTCCATCATAAAAGTGCATCTATCCATCATAAAAGTGCATCTATTCATGATAAAAGTGCATCTATCCATCATAAAGTGCATCTATCCATCATAACAGTGCATCTATCCATCATAAAGTGCATCTATCCATGATAAAAGTGCAACTGTCCATCATAAAAGTGCATCTATCCATGATAAAAGTGCATCTATCCATCATAAAAGTGCATCTATCCATCATAAAAGTGCATCTATCCATCATAAAAGTGCATCTATCCATGATAAAAGTGCATCTATCCATGATAAAAGTGCGTCTATCCATGATAAAAGTGCATCTATCCATCATAAAAGTGCATCTATCCATCATAAAAGTGCATCTATCCATCATAAAAGTGCATCTATCCATGATAAAAGTGCGTCTATCCATGATAAAAGTGCATCTATCCATCATAAAAGTGCATCTATCCATCATAAAAGTGCATCTATCCATCATAAAAGTGCATCTATCCATGATAAAAGTGCATCTATCCATGATAAAAGTGCATCTATCCATCATAAAAGTGCATCTATCCATCATAAAAGTGCATCTATCCATCATAAAAGTGCATCTATTCATGATAAAAGTGCATCTATCCATCTTAAAGTGCATCTATCCATCATAAAAGTGCATCTATCCATCATAACAGTGCATCTATCCATCTTAAAGTGCATCTATCCATGATAAAAGTGCATCTCTCCATGATAAAAGTGCATCTATCCATCATAAAAGTGCATCTATCCATGATAAAAGTGCGTCTATCCATCATAAAAGTGCATCTATCCATCATAAAAGTGCGTCTATCCATCATAAAAGTGCATCTGTCCATCATAAAAGTGCGTCTATCCATCATAAAAGTGCATCTATCCATCATAAAAGTGCATCTATCCATCATAAAAGTGCATCTGTCCATCATAAAAGTGCGTCTATCCATCATAAAAGTGCATCTATCCATCATAAAAGTGCATCTATCCATCATAAAAGTGCATCTGTCCATCATAAAAGTGCATCTATCCATCATAAAAGTGCATCTATCCATCATAAAAGTGCATCTGTCCATCATAAAAGTGCGTCTATCCATCATAAAAGTGCGTCTATCCATCATAAAAGTGCATCTGTCCATCATAAAAGTGCATCTATCCATCATAAAAGTGCATCTGTCCATCATAAAAGTGCATCTATCCATCATTAAAGTGCATCTATCCATCATAAAAGTGCATCTGTCCATCATAAAAGTGCGTCTATCCATCATAAAAGTGCATCTATCCATCATAAAAGTGCATCTATCCATCATAAAAGTGCATCTATCCATCATAAAAGTGCATCTATCCATGATAAAAGTGCATCTATCCATCATAAAAGTGCATCTATCCATCATAAAAGTGCATCTATCCATCATAAAAGTGCGTCTATCCATCATAAAAGTGCATCTATCCATCAGAAAAGTGCATTTGATGGTTGGATGCACTTTTATGGGCTTCAAAACAGAAACAGGCATTCACTGCCGTTATAAAGCTTGGAAGGGCCAGGGCCCGGTTCCCCAAAATGTTCTTATCGCTAAGTATTTCTTAACCTATTCCTTAACCTCTCTGTTAACCTTACGGCACGATTCCCGACACGTTCGTACGCTAAGTATTTCTTCTGTAAGTCACACTTTCGTAAGGTTGGTCTGGACCATCCGTAAGCTCTCTCTTAGTGTTGTTTTGAGCTCAAGGCGCTAGTCGCCGCCACTGTGCAGCAGTCTTTTTTTCTTTTTTTTTTGATTCACAGTTTTTTATTGATTCACAGAAACTTTCCAGAATACAACACAATACATCTGTATAGAATCAACATTTTTACTCCGATACTCCCCAACCCCCTCCCTCCCAACTTGATCACCACTTGACTATACAGTTAAGTACAATTAAAGATGACTTCCGGCATACAATAGTGAAGGAAAAGAAAATAATAGCATACATATATCAACACAATTACACAAAGACTTTAGAAATCAGTGAAGCGCAGTACAAGTCAAACTATGGTATGTTGACAATGTTGTGGCTCAACAATGATTTTATGTTATGGACATTTTAAGACTAATAATAAAATATGTTCGCAATGGATACAGGCCTATTTAAGAAGTTGGCTTTATTTGGTATCAGAACTAATATAGCCGATCAGGCTTGATGTTGACTGGTGTATTGGTATACAATATACTCATAAATGTAATCATTTTGTCATTTTAAATGTTTATACTCCATATTTATTTATTTATTTATTGTTTATTTGAATAGGGACAGATACAAAAAAACATAGATTATTACATAAAGAACAATCCGATGCCTGCATCACAGTGTTTATAGCCAAGGCTAATTCGCAACACCTGTCCCTAGAAGGGCTTTTAACAGTTAGGATAATAAAGGAGTAAAAAAATGACAGTGAATACAATAAAATGTCCAGAAACCAGTTAGCACCAATAAAATTAGCAAATAAACACATTCACTCGAACTCACACAGATGCACACCTCACATACACACGGATATACATTTCATATGGCATGATCACACTGCTGCTGCTGTATGAACCAGGCTTTTGTTAGTTTTTTAATGGTGGATAGTTTAGTTAAAATCTTTATATTTGTAGGAAGTCAGTTCCACAGATTGGCTCCTTTCACTGAAAAAACATTTTGGGCAAAAGAAGTTTTAAAAAATGGAACTTTACAGTCTCCACGAGTAGCAGGTCTTGTTGATCTGGAGGAGTCCAAGCCTGTTCACAAATTTACAAAGTGGCTCAGGTGCAAGTCCAGTTAAACATTTAAAAAACAACTTAATGTGTCTGAGATTAACAAAATTTACAAAATTTAAGATTTTATGTTTACTTAAAATATAACAGTGGTGGAATCGAATGGGCTTTTCATCTAAAATTTCTCAATAGGCTTCAGGGTAGTTTGGCTGGTCTGGGACCAAACGGATTATATGAGTCTAGGTAGAATGAGGTTGAATATCTCAATAGACTGGCTTTTATAAATGCTTTTATTCAAGACAATAGCATCTCCAGTGTATATATTGTTGGGGATATGAATGCTGATATCAATGACAGCAACTCATTATTTGCTAAGCACTTGACCTGCTTCAGTGAAGATAATAACTTCAGTCTATCAAGTAGAGTACTGTTGATAGTTACATACATAAGCGAAGCCTGGCATTCAACATATGGCTTGACCATTGTTTTGGTACAGCTGATGGGCATGCAGCCGTTTGGGGCCACAATAACAGACCATAAACCTTTGGCCCTAACAATTAACATTGAAGAATTACCATGCATCTACCCCCAGAAACAACAATGCTATCAGTGGTAATGTGAGTACTAAATTAGACTGGTCAACTCTTTCTGAAGAGGATCTATTGGCTTATTATAACACATAGCGATATCTAAGTAATGTTTATCTGCCCAGAGAAGCTATATGTGTAATAATGTGAAGTTGTGAACTGTCAGATTGAGGAGCATAAGAGTAATCTATGTGCCATGCATGATGATGTTGTGGCTGCTCTGTTTGAGGGTGGTAAACCTCTTCAACACAGGAGAAACAGGGCCTATAATATTAGACCAGGATGGAATGAGCATGTAGCTCCATATCACACTGAAGCTTGGGAAGCTTACAAGCTTTGGGCCCTGGCTGGGAGTCCTAGGCAAGGCCCTGAGCTTGAGAATAAAAAGCTTGCCAATGCCAGATATAACTAAGCTGTTCGTTTTATATCTAGAAATGAGCAAGCCACGAGGGCTGACTCTATGGCCAGTAAAATGATGAGCAACATTATCACTGACTTTTGGAAGGAGGTGAGGTCCTTAAATAACTGTAAATCTTCCCCCCTTGTACTGTTAAAGTGGCTCTGTTCAAAGCTTACTGTACACCACTCTATACTGCCCATCTGTGGTCTTCTTGCAAAAAATCCAGCATGCAGAAGTTAAAAGTTGCCTACAATGATGCAATGAGAATTTTACTCAAGGTTCCCAGGGGATGGAGTGCAAGTCAGATGTTAGTATCTTTTGAAGTAATCACACTGAAAGCACTTTTAAGAAATTTGATGTTTAAGTTTATGCAACGTCTGGATGAGTCTATACCAACAGTCTCATGGTGGCTCTCTCAAATCCCTTAGTGAGCCGCTCCAGTCCACATCCAGACTGACAGTGCATTGGCTGAAATGTCTGGATGTATTTTAATTCTTGTATTTTTTTGGTGCTTTTTGTCTTATTTGCTTGTTTGCTTGTTTGTTTTTATCTGTCCTGTCTTGCGTGGCTTTTTGGAACTGAGTCTGGCAAACAATTTGGCTCTAAATGGCTAAGATCTATAAGGGGTAAGCATGGTGGTGTCCAGTAAGCGACGAACTATGGCAGCGATCCAACGTGTCCTTGTATTGAATCAAAGACGGCGCCGGCCGTGGAGCCGTTTAGTCATGTCATCATTTTTAGAAGTCGTTAAACCCATGTCAAGAAGCGGCACAAGTGGCACAACGGGAAAAGGGGGGTGGATGACTAGTGAATATGTGAACATTTTACAGACAATTTGATCATTTAATTAATAGTCTATATTTTACTGATAACTTAAACTATGTTAAAATAAATGTTACTGGAATAATTTGAGGAATGTTTCATTTGCATAGAACGTGTTGTCTTTCTTAACGCCGTAATGCACCTTCGCGTGAAGTGCAAAATCGATTCCTGAGCAATCGATGCCAACTAGTTCAGCAGCTTCACTGGGACAGCGCCTTTGTAACGTTGAACGTAAGAGGCAGCGTCTTAAGAAGCTTCCTAAGGGACACTTCGGGGAACACACTTAGGAACTTAAACAACTTTGGTAAGATATATCTTTCGAGTCTTCTTAGCGCGCTAAGAGTGAGCGTTATCGGGGAACCGGGCCCAGGACATTTTTTAATATAACTGAATGTGTTCGTCTGAAAGAAGAATGTCACCTAGGATGACTTGAGGGTGAGTAAATCATGGGCTAATTTTCATTTTTGGGTGAACTATCCCTTTAAAGTGAGGTTATTTGACCTTTGACCCTTGCAGTAAGCTGAGGGAAGCGACGGAAGTGAACATCAACATGCGTGTAGGCGTGCACACGGGTAACGTTCTGTGCGGCGTGATCGGCCTTCAGAAGTGGCAGTACGACGTCTGGTCAGATGACGTGACTCTAGCCAATCACATGGAGTCTGGAGGAGTGGCTGGGTATCTATCACACATATACACCTTTCCTCTCGTTCCTGATTATCCTAGTTATATTAGTGATGATTACGGGTCCTCACAGGAGAGTCCACATCACGGAGGAGACGCTGGTTCACCTGGATGGGAAATACCAGGTGGAGGATGGAGAAGGCGGGAGTCGGGATTCCAGTTTGAAGGGAAGGAGAACATTCCTGGTCATTGACCCTAATACAGAAAAGTGGAGTACAACAACACAGGTGATTAACCGATAGTAAGACTCGAGTAACTGTTGGTTAGTAGTTATTGTATTTTTTTCACAGTACAGTGCTTAGCATAAGTGAACACACCCATGCTAAAGTTGACTAAAAAGGGGAATACAAAATCATCTTTTGGAAATTGATCTTAATGCCTTAATTTAAAAAATGAGGAAAAATACAACCTTTAAGGACCCCCATATTTCCTTTGTGAACGAATAGTGTATTGTAAATAAATAAATGTTCTTCCTTTAAATACAGGGGTATTTACAGGAATACAGTCAGGACACCCCTGTGTTAAATTCCCATAGAGGGGCAGATTTATATCATCATCACATACATAGAGATCGTCATGGTTTTATTTCAGTTAGCCTAATCGCTGGTTTGATTTGCATTGAGAGATGATCTTATGGAAAGTTCTCCATGCCGACTCTAGGTGTGGTGAAGGGTGTGTGATGATGTTGGATATTTTAATCCCAGAGGCCGAGGGAACTTTATCAGGATGCGTAGTGTCCTGATCCATGAAATAACTGGCCTTTAAAAATATAAATCTGCCCCTCTATGGGAATTTAACACAGGGGTGTCCTGACTCATGTCCCCTGTATTTAAAGGAAGAACATTTATTTATTTACAATACATTATTCGTTCACAAAGAAAATTGGTGTCCTTAAAGGTTGTATTTTTCCTCATTTTTTTAATTAAGGCATTAAGATCAATTTCCAAAAGATGATTTTTTATTCCTCTTTTTAGTCAACTTTAGCATGGGTGTGTTCACTTATTCTAAGCACTATATTTAGGGATGTAAAGATTACTGGTAGTTCGGTACTAAGTCAATACTAAAGCTAGTAAACCATTACTTAGTAATCATTCAGTTAGCAAGTAAACAAACCATCAAGTAACTAATAGTTTGCTATCTTTTGTATTGACTTAGTACCGAACTACCAGTATTTTTATACATCCCTAGTAACTACTGTTTCAAAAATACAATTAATGGTTTACTATTGATAGTATTGACTTACTATCGAATCAGCAGTATTTTTGACTTTCCATGTTTACTACAATTAAAATAAACGCTAAAAAAAATCTGTTGTATGTTGGCATTAATTATTACTGTCATGAATAAATAAATAAATCAGAATGAAAGCTTTTGGAAGGTTCCCATATTAATTCATTTTAGAGTATATTTTATTTTTCAGGATTCTTTGATGAATAGAAAGTTAAAAAGAACAGCTTTTCTTTGAAATAGAACCTTTTGTAGCATTATGAATGTCTTTTGATCAATTTAATGCGTCATCGATGGATAAAAGTATATTTCTTTCAACAATAAAGAACAGAATGGTGTAGACGTGATTGTTTTGGCTCTTCTTGTGTGTGTCAGACTAATGAGCTGAAGGTGAACAACAGACTCCCGGATCGGCACAAGCTCCGGGCGTCGGTGCGCATGTCGCAATATCTGAAGTCCTGGGAATCCGTCACACCGTTTTATGGACTCAAACAATCAGAGGCCTCGCTGAAAGCTCCGCCCACCGCTGACAGCGGCATCAGCCAATCACAGCAGGTGAGAGTCAGCGTCAATCATTATCACCGTCCAATTACACTCAATCACTTTGAATATGTTTAACGGTGCATATTAATCACGTTTACTTTCTCATCAACAGGAGCTGACGGATGTGAACACTCACAGGTGAAGATATAAGGTTTATTCATTTGTTTCAGGGATTTGAAAGTAGTTTGCGAACACTAACATAATTAAGTCAAGTCAAGTCACCTTCATTTATACAGCGCTTTTAACAATATAGACTGTTTCACATCAGCTTTACAGTGATAATAGGAAATTAAAGTAACAGATTGTTTAGGCTTTACAGTAGCTCTAGAATAAAGTTATTGTCCAGCTAAAGTTTTGATCGATTCAAGTTTGAAGTTATTAACTTAGGGGCCGCTAACACGACCCCGTTCTAACAGAGGACCCTTAACACTTAATTAAAATGATGTGGTTTTGATCCAGGTAAAACAGAGCTCAAAAAAGAGATCAGAGCGCACGTTCTTGGCCAGTTTCACTCGGTTTTCTTTGTGATTCACATAAATTTGGTTCTTTTTAATACTCAATTTTGGAAACGCTGTTGAAGTTAGTTTGTTTTCTCAGATCAACACCAAATGGACCGACAGACTCGTTAGACCCTCTGGAAAATGAAAGGTGAGCGAAAGATTGACTAATATATATGATCTTCACAGGGAATTAATCATAAACGAGTTTTTCACCTAATGTTGTGTCTTCATCGTTCAGGAGAAGAGCGAAGCTGAACTGGGTGACGCTATTTTTTAATAACATCCAGTTCGAAAAAGAGGTGGGAATTGTTTCTCGATTTAAAAGCATGTTGTTGTATTTCTCTCACTCTTAACACTGTGTGTGTGTGTGTGTGTGTGTGTCAGTATTCTCTGAGTGAAGTCCAGGGGCTTCATCACTCTGTGGGATGTCTGGCCTTCATCTTCATCTCTGTGTTCGTGGTTCAGATGTTGACCTCGCAAAAGTGAGTGTCACAAAAAAGTTTGGTGCACTTTTCACCATGCAATCAATTCGTCTTTAATCAAAACATTTCTTTTTGGTAAATATATTCAAGAAATCACATAATTTGAGCTCCAGAATGGCAGATTTCAGATCACCTGTTTTTGTCGAGGGTCAGATTGCCGAAGCCTGTTCTTTATTTCCTCACATTAAGAAAAGTTTGAAAGTGTTTTCCGCAATTTTCTAGTGTTTCTGCATGAACACACAACAGAAATCTCTCGTTCTCTTTGGTCATGTGCAGAAACTTTGCTCTTGCGGTGTCGTATGGAGCCACTTTCCCAGTCCAGATCCTGATTGCACTGGTGGTCTTCACTAGATTCCTGAAGGTACGACTGCATGTCTTTATGAAAGGTCAGATTAGTGGTTGACCAATGGTAAACTCTTCAAATATTATAATGAATATGTTTGTAATTAGGTATGTTAAATTCACTGTAAAATCGACTTACTTAAAAAAAGCATGCAAACTGATTGCCTTAAAAAAACATGTAAAGTGAAATAGGAATAGTATGTTGTTCTAAAAAATGCTTACTTAAGAGTTCTAGTAATTGTTGTTGTGTTTTCCATGCTGAATGTTGAAGTCTGTGTGACTCAAGCATGATCAATTACAAGATTGTCACAAATATAGAGGGATTATATCAACCCAATTAAAAGTTTCACAAGGGGTTTAGGACATAAGTGTTTGCAAAAAATGTATAAAAGATCATTAAATGACATGAAATATAGTTATGTTATACATCATTCATTCATACATATATATAACTTATCTTCCTTTGAAACCAAATAACTGATTTCTTGTTGCATCGCTGCATCAATGGGAAGAGAATTACAATAGAATAAATGAAGTTCCAAGTGTCCAACCAAGGGGGACACTGATCATCATAATGGTGACTAAATATTTCAGGAAAATCAACATCAATCTATGTGATGTTGTCTCAAATTTTTCAGTTGTATTGACAAATCAACATTCAAGATGACTTGAATGAAAAACAGAGAAAGATCACTGCAGAAGTGGAGGAAATGAGTGAAAATAAGAATTTCCCCACCTCATAAACCGCACTCAAACCAATCAATCAATCTTAACTTCTGAGTAAACAAAGCATAGTATGTGAATAGTACAGATTTTTACAATTAAGTCAAAACATTAAGTAAAGTTAACTTAAAAGTATTAGTTAGAATCACTGTTGGATTTTACAGTGTTGTGGGCTTTTAAAAAAAAAGTCTCAATGTGTGTGTGTGTGTGTGTCAGCGCTGGAGCTCTAAGATCCCCCCCAGCATCCTCTGGGTGTCGTTCCTGTGTGGCGGCGTGGTCACCAGGGCGGCGCTGCGTTTGCTGCTGGTGTTCCTGTGTCTGCTCATCACGCTGCTCATGGCAGTGCTCAACTTAGTGAGAAACCCCTGCACAAACACCAGCTCACAGCATAACATTTCACAAAACTGATATCTATTAATGAAATATTTGTATCAGTTAGTTTATCAAAAGTATTTCATTTGTTTTGACCTTCACTGAAGAACTACAGCTAAATTTCTTACTGTAACTTTATTACGGAGGGGGTATTATCCTGTGTAGATCAGAGACACAGCTTTATGCTTAATTAAAAGAAAATGAATGTCATTAAAATAGTTTTTTTCTCCACTACAGTACAACTTACATTCATCAAAACTTACAGTTTTATTCATATCTATAATCTGAAGGTTTTTACTGAGGGGTTTGTTCATATATCAATCAACCTGATTTATAGAGCATTTTATTCCTAAAAACAAGGTGAAAATGCGTTTTTTTTCTGTCTGTCAACAGTGTTTTCTGATTTATGGAGTGATAAAAAGAGAAATCAAAAATCCCCTCTATAAAAACCTTTAACTCTAATATCCCAACAAAATCAATCAAGAATTTTGAATCTGGCTTTATCCAATATTCAAATTTATGTTCTGAAAGTGTATGCAAATTGATGCATATTTAAACATAAGATTTCACAAAACTGATATCTATTAATAAAATACTTTTCTCAGTTAGTTTATCAAAATGCATCTAATTAGTTTTGACCTTCACTGAAGAACTACAGCTAAATTTCTTCTAACTTTATTATGGGGAGGAAACGATCCCGTGTAGATCAGAGACAATGCTTTATTATTGCTTTATTATAAGAAAATAAAATATACACAAATGATCTTCTGCCTTTTTATGTCTGTTTGCACAACCTCTTTAGCTTGTATGTTTGTTTCGTAGGTTTTTATACCAGGCGATGACTGCATAAATGTTTCCCACAATGCAACAGAATTGAACAACCTGAATCTCTACACTGTCCCGGTAAGCGTTACCCTTATAAATGACATTTACATGAGCATTGATGTGATATTGATCATATGTTAATGCGTCTCTGCAGTATTATCTGTACTGCTGTCTGTTGGCGATGCTGGGTGTGATGGTGTTTGTGCGTGTGTGTGTGTCTGTGAAAGTCTTCCTCCTGACGCTAGCGCTAGTGGTTTATCTAGCGCTCTTCTTGCACGTGTACGCACCGCGCTCCGACTGCTACGTCAAACAGCTCTACAACGACAGCCCGTAAGACACTAACACACACCTTTCTGTTTTGTTTTTAACTTTTGACATAATACAGTTGTACTGTAAAATACCAAAATGAATGTATATTTAAAATTATATAATTTACAATGATTTTTACTTTTATTTGGATATATTTTTCATTAATTGTTGTTATATTCTATTAGTATAATTATATTATACAATTTGATATATAATATAATGATCATATATAATTATGATTAGGGATGGCCCGATACCATTTTTTTTTCAAACCGATACGAGTACGAGTATTTACATTTGTGTACTTGCCGATACCGAGTACCAATACCGATATTTCTACCGCAAAATTAATAGGCTCCCAGAAGAGAAGACGACTATTTTAGAACACAGGTTAGAAGACTGTTTTTATTTTCTTCTCTGCTTGTTTTAACAAGTCTAAAAATAAAAAAAAAATTGTAAAATAATAAATGTATTAACACACAAACCACTGTTAATTTAACATAAAAGCAAGCAGGCTACTGCGTGCATGGTCTGGCATTCTGAATGCGCGCAAAGTGCGCTCCCTTAATAAATCCTAAAAGCTGACAGTTCATCGCGATCTCACACAACTCTGTTATTATCAATGAAGCTGACTGCACAATCAATCTTTCATAATATCCACACTTTGTTCATTATAATTAGAGGATTTGCCAGCATACAGAATTCAGCACTGAACAAAAAAGTCCGTTTTGAGTGGTGAGGGGAGTCTATCTTAAATGCTTCTGATTGGCCATTGCGTTCCAGAAATCAACACATATGTCTGTGATTGGCTACATCGCTCAACGCTGTAACCATGTTATGGATAGAAACTCTGTCCTGTAAATCGTTTCTATTTTGTTGTAGTTGTTCTTGTTGCTTTTCTGCAAGAGATGAATAAAAATCTTTTATTTTTTATTCATAGATATTTCTAGTTTGCGGGAGTCCCGCGAATCGTTTTATTCTCCCGTAACCCGCACACACAGAGTGAGTGCATTACCGCCCGCGCGCGCGCTCGGCCATCAGATCTATGATGCGTCTTCAGATGTTTAACTAGATTGCTGGTGTTAAACGATGTACTTTCTTTCCCTCCTCTCGACACCTTAGCTGAACATAACTCACAGTCTGCCTTGCTGTTGTCATCACCCCTTATCTTGAAATGAGCCCAAACCGCCGACATTATACTTTCCTATGCCTCAGTTCACCTCGACAAAGCACTCGCGGCGGCCAGTTTCGTTTTGCAAAATGTACGTGGTATCGGTGCGTGGTATCGGCGAATTTTTATGAGTACGAGTACGAGTATATTAGGACAGTATCGGCCCGATCCCCGATGCCAGTATCGGTATCGGGCCATCCCTAATTATGATCATACTGTATAATTCTAATAATTACATCCTTTAACAATAATATTCTCATTTATTTATCAATTGTAATTCGTATAACAGTAATAAAAATTAAAACTAGTATTATTGTTGTTTAACTATAATAAAATAAGACAGAAATATTACTATTGTAATAATACAGTTGTACTGTAAATAAAAATGAATGTGTATTAAAAATTATAACAATTTACATTGATTTTAATTTAATTTTGATTAATTGTGATTTGATTGTTGTTATATTATTATTATATTTTATCATTTAATATAATAATTATCATACTGTATAATAATGATAGGCCTATAAAATAACAATAATGATAATTCTTTTTTATTTATCAATAGAAATTCTTATAACAGTAATAATAATAAAAACTTGTTTAACTATAATGAAATATTGCTATTGTAATAATACAATTGTACTGTAAAATAAAAATTATAACAACAAATTATAATCATCTAATTCAAATAATAAATCACAATCAGTCGCATGAATTTTAGCATAAACAATCATAAGTTTAGTTTAGAATGTGTTTGTGATTGAAACCAAATAGTCAATGAGAAATATGTAGGCAGGACTTAAATTATTCATGACGAGTTTGATTGAGTGGTGTAAATTAAAATGTCTCTATTACAGGCGGTTGAAAAATATCAAAGATTAGTGATATCAGAATATTAATATATTTTGATGAAGGATTATGAAGGCAAACATTATTTCTTTATCATAACGTCACTGATTATTCATTCGTATAATGAGCGGCAACAGGAAAACAGAAGGTAACCAGAGTCAATATTGATTTTGTGACTTTTGTGGGTTTGACAGTCCAGGTTCAGGTGTATTTTGCATTATAACTCTAAACTGTGGCCAGAAACACTGTGATTGTTGTGATTATTAATGATTATTGAGTGTGAGATCCTACTGTGTGTTGTAGACCGGGAGTTCTTAAGGAGCCCAAGATCATGTCCGGCATTTGGCTGGTCATTTTCTACTTGACTTCCCTTGTTCTTGTGCGACAGGTAAGAGTATGTGTGTGTGTGTGTGTGTGTGTGTGTGTGTGTGTGTGTGAACACATATTTGGTTATGAGTCTTTCAGTTTGATTGTATGCACTGAGTGTTGGGGAGTGTTGTATAACATTAATCCACTAGATGACTAACTGCTTCCCGAAACGGTTTTGGTCTTTATATCCGTCTTCTTCCTGTCAGGAATCATGTGTTTAAAGCATAAGTAATACAATATGGTTTTTATTGTTTTCTCTTTTTTTGTTGCAATTTTTTATTAGTTTTGAGCTTTATGGGTGAACATTACATTAATCTGTCATGACTCATGTGGTTGGCTTGACGTTGGCTGTCATGTGGCATTCTAACATTTTAATGACAAATTCATGCATAAAACCTCCTTCATCTTCATGACATGTGTCATGTTATGATTATGAAAGTATCATGTCAGTCTTATGCACACCCCTTCAAGTAGTTACCATGTTGTTGTCATTTTTTTTTTAAGTGTATATGTTATTATAGACATCAAAAGTTATTTTAATACATCAGTTTAAACTAAATGAACACAAGTCAAGTGTTTTTTTTCCAGTTAAAGTATATTTTATTTCAACCAATGTTTTCATGCTCTCAGTTTGAGCTGCCTACAGTAACCCTGCTCAGTTGAGTGTGTGTGTAATCTGTGTGTGTAACTGATGTAATTCAGGACGAGTTGGGCTCTCGCACAGAGTTCCTGCTGGAGAAGTGTTTTATAAAAGAGACGGAGGAGATGGAGACGACGAAGAACGTGAACAGACTCCTCTTGCAGAATCTGCTGCCGGGACACGTCACCGAGTTCTACATCGGCAAGGACGTCCCAAACCAGGTGACCCACACACACACACACACACACAGCTCCACTGATGCCCTCTCGAGGCGCCAGAGTCCATTACACTCAATCTCCTGCATCTTCTGTGTCGGATCGAGAGCTCAGACAAGCGTGCAAGCGTCCTCCTTCAGCTCGAGATTCACGAGTCTTTCTGTCAAATCTGCCTGATTTTATCAAGGAAACGCAAGAATAACTTTGATATTGTTAGTAGTAAATCAGTTGGACTGAATTTATTTATTACATTTATTACAAAAATCACGAGTGTTATATGATCATCAGGCTTTTGAGGAAGGTTTATTTCTTCATCTCTCAATCGTCATTGTTTAGCATTGCATTTTATGTTTGAAAACTACAGATCATCAAACTATGCATATCATCTTACTAATGCTACGTTCACACCGGACGCGAATAGCGCGTCAAATTCGCGTCTACCGCGTCTAGTTTGACGCTTGACCACTTTGTGTTAATTCGCGTGTGAATGGCGAAATTGACGCGCGTAAAAACAAAAGTTTGAAGCGAAATTTACGCGCGTCAGAGGCGAAAGTTTCGAAACCCGTCGGCGGCCATCTTTTTAGATGTTTATCGAGCATTAGCATTAGCATTATTCGAGAGAGTCACCGCTCGTATATGCTCTGGAGAGCAGAAACAGCTGCGTAGGGGACATCGTCGCTGTACTCGGGTCCACCAGACCCTCCGGAGGGTTTCAGGAGTTTCACCATGTGTTCCAGGAGCTAGGTTTGGTGGACCTAACGGTGAGGACGCTGACGAGGACAGCGTAGGCCGTGTAAAGCCTCGGCCTCGAGTGGTCGCTGCCTGACGAGCCCGCGCTCTACAGCCCGGCGCGAGGTTCACCCTCGCCCGCACATTTATTTGATAATAAATGGAGCCAGCCTCCAAAAGTGAAACCTGTCCTGTGATTTTTTTTATTTATTATACACTATGTGTTTGTTGTTTTTACATTAAAATAATAATGTTTCATATAATCTAAAATAGATATGGAATAAATAGCATTCAATACAAAATTAGTACTATCTCTCATATATTAAAATCGAGTTTTTATGTGAAAGATTTGCTTTGTTGTGCATTAGAACCACACCAGACATTTTAGTAATATTACAAAATAATTTATTAAAATAACAAACTTTCACTTCACCACGTGACAGCAGCAAGCAGGCTCCTGATTGGTTAACGCGGCGCGAATTGACGCACAAGTTCAAATTTTTCAACTCGGGCGGCAGACGCGAATTCGCGTCAAACGCGTGAATGCACAAATAGCACTAACTAAATCATTCGCGCGTAACGCGCTTCCGCGCCAGACGCTTCAGTTCGCGCCATTCGCCGACGGAAAATGTAAAGTTGCGATTTTCTAGGCTGATATGGCTAGGAACTATACTCTCATTCCTGCGTAATAATCAAGAAACTTTACTGCTGTACCATGAGAGCTGCAGGCGCAGGCACTTAGTCCCGGTCACGTTGGAAGTTACCGAGCTGGGGACTATTTTCAGGCGCTGCGTCATATCATTACGCCTGCTGCTCTCATGGTACGGCAGTGAAGTTTCTTGATTATTACGCAGGAATGAGAGTATAGTTCCTAGCCATATCAGCCTAGAAAATCGCAACTTTACATTTTCCGTCGGTCTTAGTGCACGATATAACTACAGAAGAGTCAAGTTTTAAATAGGAAAAATATCGAAACACTTTGGTCATTTTTAATGAGAAATGCTAATGGTCTTGTCCACTTCAATGATGTATGCTAAGCTATGCTAAAAGTGGTACCGTCAGAACCGGAGATCGGCTGAATGGATTCAAAAAGGGTAAAACTCAACAGTTTAACTCTGGGGGAGTTGTAAAATGAGCCTATTTCCAAAAAAAGTGGAGTATCCCTTTAATGATGCCCTAAATTATATGATTCATCCAATGTTTACATTTGTGCTGCCAACCCCTTCAACTCTGCTTCGTGTATTCTCAAAACGGTCCATCTACAAAATCATAGCAGAGCAATTATCTTCAGCCGGGACTATCATTCAAGACTAATATCAGTAAACTTGTCTCTTTTGAAGAGCAGACTCATTGCCAGTCACTGCCTGAAGTAAAAGAGGGCGGCCCACTCTCACGCATCGACCGTGAGACTCACTTTTCACACGCTCTTACATCCATTTTCTCACGCAACTTACCGAAATGTATATTCCTCATATAATATCGACCAATCAGTGTTTTTCAACCGCGCAAACAGGTTAATATAACAGCTGGAGAACATTGTCACATAACATTTACCTCAGGAAAGCCATTTAATGACCATGATAGGCTATAGCACGTTATGTTGGCAAGAAAAATGAGCTAGAGAGTATTTTACTAATTATGTGTAGGCCTACTATATTACATATTTATTATATGTTTTACTTATATCATTAAAAACAGTTATTATGAAAAATAATGTTTACATTTGACGGTGGGTCTCCCTTCCAAGCAATTTACATTGCCATAGGAACACTTAGGCTTTTGCCAGCCGGAAGAACGTTTATTACTGTTGTGACGTCATGGTGAATTGTCGTAAAAAATTAAGCTGTTTTTTCCTCCATATTCTCACAATACCAGAGCCATAAAAGCCTGATACATAAAATGTGATACTCAACAAAAAAACACATATGCAAACTTTTTTCTCTTATATTTTGTAAAGGTTTAATAAATGGTTCATTACATTAATATTATCTAATAATATTTAATGTCAGGCTTAAAACCTGGTGTTAACAGGGCTTAATTCTATGATGTATCTGTGTGTGTGTTTCAGGACTTGTACAGCAAGTCGTGCGAGTGTGTGTGTGTTATGTTCGCGTCCGTGCCGCAGTTCTACAAAGAGTTTTACAGCGAGAGCAGCGTCAACAACAACGGGCTGGAGTGTCTTCGCTTACTCAACGAGATCATCTCAGACTTTGACGAGGTGAATGCCTCTTCGTCTGTCTCTGGTTTAATCTTACACACCTGTCTCATAATATGTTTTCTTCTCACAGCTCCTTATCAAGCCAAAATTCAGTGCGGTAGAAAAGATCAAGACCATCGGGAGCACTTACATGGCGGCGGCCGGCCTGACCAATCCTGCCAAAACGGAGGAGCAACTAGTGAGTAGCGTGCGAATGATGCATGTGTTTTAAAGGGGACGTATTATGCCCCCTTTCACATGATGTAATAAACATCTATGGCGTCCCCAGAATGTGTGTGTGAAATATCAGCTCAAACTCATTTATTATAGCTTGTCAAATTTGGCTGTTTTTGAGTGTGAGCAAAAACTTTCCGTTTTTGTGTGTCCCTTTAAATGCAAATGAGCTGCTGCTCCGCCTCCGTTCAGAAGAGGACGGAGCCTTTACATGAGAGGGTGGAGTCTTTAGACAAGAGGGCGGGGCCTTTACACGAGAGGGCGGAGCCTTTACACAAGAGGGCGGAGTCTTTACACAAGAGGGCGGAGCCTTTACATGAGAGGGTGGAGTCTTTACACAAGAGGGCGGAGCCTTTACACGAGAGGGTAGAGTCTTTACACGAGAGGGCGGGGTCTTTACACAAGAGGGCGGGCCTTAACACGAGAGGGCGGAGTCTTTACACAAGAGGGCGGGCCTTTACACGAGAGGGCGGAGTCTTTACACAAGAGGGCGGAGCCTTTACACGAGAGGGCGGAGTCTTTACACAAGAGGGCGGGGCCTTTACACGAGAGGGCGGAGTCTTTACACAAGAGGGCGGGGTCTTTACACAAGAGGGCGGGCCTTAACACGAGAGGGTGGAGTCTTTACACAAGAGGGCGGAGCCTTTACACGAGAGGGCGGAGTCTTTACACAAGAGGGCGGGGCCTTTACACGAGAGGGCGGAGTCTTTACACAAGAGGGCGGGGTCTTTACACAAGAGGGCGGGCCTTAACACGAGAGGGTGGAGTCTTTACACAAGAGGGCGGGCCTTAACACGAGAGGGTGGAGTCTTTACACAAGAGGGCGGAGCCTTTACATGAGAGGGTGGAGTCTTTACACAAGAGGGCGGAGCCTTTACACGAGAGGGTAGAGTCTTTACACGAGAGGGCGGGGTCTTTACACAAGAGGGCGGGCCTTAACACGAGAGGGCGGAGTCTTTACACAAGAGGGCGGGCCTTTACACGAGAGGGCGGAGTCTTTACACAAGAGGGCGGAGCCTTTACACGAGAGGGCGGAGTCTTTACACAAGAGGGCGGGGCCTTTACACGAGAGGGCGGAGTCTTTACACAAGAGGGCGGAGCCTTTACACGAGAGGACGGAGTCTTTACACAAGAGGGCGGGGCCTTTACACGAGAGGGCGGGGTCTTTACACAAGAGGGCGGAGTCTTCACACAAGAGGGTGGGGCCTTAACACGAGAGGGCGGAGTCTTTACACGAGAGGGCGGAGCCTTTACACGAGAGGGCGGAGTCTTTACACGAGAGGGCGTAGTCTTTACACAAGAGGGCGGAGCCTTTACACGAGAGGGCGGGGTCTTTACACAAGAGGGCGGGGTCTTTACACAAGAGGGCGGAGTCTTTACACGAGAGGGCGAAGCCTTTACTTAAGAGGGCGGAGCCTTTACATGAGAGGGCGGGGTCTTTACACAAGAGGTCGGAGTCTTTACACGAGAGGGCGGAGCCTTCACACGAGCTTCAGAGACTCCGGCAATAACAACACAGGCCAATCTCACTGATCCAGAGTCAGGAGTTACAGCAGCGAGTGCAGCCTTACGGAGAGACTCAGGGAGAGCTTCACTTTTACACGTTTCTGAATGTTAGCGGAGACATTTCTGTAGTTGTTGTGGAGTTACACTGATCATCTCCTCATCATGTTGAACTCTTCCACAAGTGTCCACAGTTCCTGAGGTGTTTATAAGACAGCGCTGACATGTTCTGGTCAATAGTGTTCAGTGTCGTCTGTGCTCGACCACAGAACAGTTTCAGGCTTTGCTGGATCTTCTCCAGTGCGTTAGAACTGGTCTCTGTTGGCGCTCGCCGAACCCAATGTCGCTGGTGTGTGTAAACGTGCAGATTAAGGGCCGGCAATATTATAATAACATCCTCTTCATACGCCAGAAGGAGCGAAATCTGATCGGCTTATTTTCAGACATGCTCTCAGAGAAAGACTCACCAGAACACAGTTACTGGGTTTCACTTTACATGTTTTCTGGGTTGGATGCACCCGATTATAGCAGTTACACACGGGAAAACTCAGATTTTCATGATGTGTCGTCTTTAAAGGACATTTTAAATTTCATCAGTGTTGTGCATCTACAGGCCTGCGACACGTCGTACAATCACATTCGCAGCATGTTGGACTTCGCCGTCGCTCTGATGGCGAGACTGGAAAACATCAACACACACTCCTTCAACAACTTCAAACTGAGGATCGGTAACACACACTGCATTTATATGACTTATACACATTATTTCAAGCTTTTGAACGATCAGATATAATAACTGGTGTTGTGTTTTGTCCAGGGATAAACCACGGGCCTGTGATCGCGGGCGTCATCGGCGCTCATAAACCTCAGTATGACATCTGGGGAAACACGGTCAACGTGGCCAGCCGAATGGACAGCACTGGAGTCCTGGATAAAATACAGGTGATGCGTCTTTACACCTGTCGAAACATCCAAACATCAATCTCTTTGTGTTTACATTAACCCTTGTGCATCAATTAAGAAAACTTACACATATGTCCATTGTGGACAAAAATGTCATAACAATGTGAAGCCTGGGAGCACAGACTTAACTTTGGTCTGATTTTAAAGAAGACCCTTGGCAGATTATTGGTGAAGTATCAAAAAAAATTAAAATTAAAACAAAAAAAATTTAGATAGGTTTAATTTTATGAAAATTATTTATGAACATTATTTTATATCAAATGTATATTTTATGAAACATGTTGAACTCTAAAACTGCTAGAAAATCAAAGCCATAAATCTAAACAAGTCGTGTTCCAAATTTGAGGTCGATCTCTCAAGAACTGAGCGTTCAGTGAGAGTGTGTTTGGGACAGTAACACGTTTTCCCCATTAGATGCAGCAAAACTCACTGGGACAGAGTTTTTCTCTCTCAAGCACACACACACACACACACACACATTTGTTTTATTACACACGTACAAACCACACTCTGACATCCATACTAACACACACACACACACACACACACAATTATTGCTGCATAATTTATCCAATTGGCTCTATAATATGCAGAAGCAGAAAAGGGGATAAAGTCTATTGCTTTATAGGCCAAACCTGAGAAAATGGCACCATCTAGTAATTTTTTTAATTTTGACAGAATGAAAGCCTATTAACAAAGATTGCATTATAGTTAAATGGTCCTGGGGTTAAAAATTGCAGTTTTAATGGGGACATTTTTGTCCTGAAGGTCCTGAGAGGAACTAGTTTAGCTCCACTAGTGCAAAATTGATTTTTTTAAAGGAAATAGTTAAATTCCAATAAAAATACACACCTGTGCCAAACTTTATGCAGTTGGCACTAACACAGGCAAAATTATATTAAAAAAAACCATGAAAAAGACTAAATTGTCCATAATTAGGATGCACAAGGGTTAAAATCATACATATTCGTGGATGGATCTCTATGGAAGTAAAATAATGCCAAATGTTTTTGAAACAAAAAAGCTCCATTTTTATGGGTTGAAATTCAAAATTCCAAAATATTCGCTTCCTCAATTATGGATCTGTACTCTACTACTATTCCTGCCGTTCCCGCATGCGAAATGTTGAATTTTCTGTCGAACTTAAAACACTGAATTTGTGGAAGCGAATTTGTAAAGTGAAATATAATGGACCGAAAATTGCCTGTCGAATATTATAGGTTGTGTTTTAAACAAAATGAATATTTTGGAAGTGAAATCTGAAACGTGAATATGGATTATTGAAATTTCAATAATAAAAAATGTGTGTGAAATGTTTTGAATTAGAAATATTCACAGCTTAAATCATGGTTAATGCATTGCATATTTTTGCAAGTAGTGCAATTCATCAAGCTTTTTTGTTTCAAAAACATTTGGCATTATTTTACTTCCACAGATCTCTATAAAGTAAATAAATAAAAGCATATTGTGTTACCTTTTGGAACTTGGAAGGGTTCAGTTTGAGCAGATGTTTTCTACCATCATCGCTGGTCATCTGGTTTAAATTCGCCATCTCAAACATATTCTCAAAACTATCGTTTTCAACGTCTTCAAAATCAATATTCTGATCCCTGATTCAAACTCGAGCCATTCCAGGTTTCGCTGAGGATATTCTTTTGCTTTATGTCTACGGTAATTGTGTACGTTATCGTAATGTATCAGACATCGCCACCTTGAGGAATAAACCTGAAGTGCAATTATTGAGTCTATAGCGATTTAATTATTGTTGCGCAGAAAGAAAAAAAACACTATTACTTTCCTCGGGTCACTAGCGACCCGATACACTTTTTACAAAAAAATTATTTGTCAACAGGCATTCTTTTATAATACTCTTTTTTTTGTTTTTTTGGGATGCACGATATATTGCCCACCATATCGGTATCGGCCGATATAAAAATGTTAATTTTGAATGTTATCGTTATCAGCCCGATAAGAAAATTTGGCCGATAAATAATGTAGTATTTCCTTCAGCTGAGACTCTTCAGATGCGCACTGTTCAACATGATGGATTTGAATTGCTTGAAATATGATCAGAATCACTTCAAAAAAGGAAAATACAGTAAAGTAGTGCAAGTCTGTCATATCGGCTTCATAAAATTATCGCGAACATTATAATTGTGTGTTTGGGATGTGGATTTTAATGGTGAGACTTTTGTGTTTGTAATCAGGCTCTCAAAAATTATATAAAAATGTGGATTTAGATTTATCTGCCGATATATCGGTTATCGTCTTTCAAATATAAAGAATTATCGGTTATCGTATCGGCCAAAATTTCCATATCGGTGCATTCCTAATTTTTTCTTTCTTTTTTAAGTACAACAAAAATAAAATAGAAAATATGATAGCATTGTAATTCTTGAACACACCTGACGCCATAAACACTCGTAATTACGAACTTCCCCAGAAGGACTTGAACTAAATTAATTATTTAAATGAATAAGGAACTGAATCAGTGTGTTGTTTGTGGTCTTCAGGTGACGGAGGAAACCGCTCATGTGGCGCAAACGCTGGGCTATGATGTCACTCTGAGAGGAGTGGTCAACGTCAAGGGCAAAGGTCAACTGACCACGTACTTTATCGTCACGGAGCAAACGCTGAAGTCCTGACAACACGGACCACGTTCTCAGTGAACGCCTGAAACATCAAGCTCACAGTCATAGCTAAGCGAGTAGAGATCCTGAGTGTTTCACTAAGGTCCTTTACGGCAGGTGTTTTCACATCGGAGTTCGTAAAGGAGTGCCAGTGGGCCCGTAGAAAAGTTTACAGGAAAACAATGTCAAAATGTTAAAAAAAAGCAATACAATTTTTCATTAAATATATATAAAAAAATTAAGTGAAAAGTTGGATTAAAGTAAATATACTGTGAATTTAACTAATTCAAGTAGCCTACTTTTCAAAATGAAGGAAGATTAAAGTTAACTGTTTTGTTGTTCTTTTTGGAGATGTTTTCTTTCTGATAATCTATTTTTTTAAATAATGTAAAGTGTAAATTCTATAAATTTCCAAGGTGTTGAGTTTAGTTTTATATGGAGTATATGTATTTTCTTTCACTTATGCACTTATTTATTAATGTTTGTTATTATGTATTTACAATTTTGTATGTTCAATTTATGTTTATATAAACATTTTCATAAAAAACAGCTCTTTGTTGTGTTTAAACTTTAACCATCCACATGACTGTCACTGAGCTGACTAGAAAATGACTTGAAAGGTGATACTTACAAAATTAAAAAATAATTTGATTTCTAACTGATAAGGGGAATTTTATGAAAGCCCACAAGGACCACACAAGGAAAAAAATCATGCTTTGGTCAATCTAAATTATGACATCAAAAGTCAAAATTAAGTTTTTTCCAATTTTGACATAAAAAGTCAAAATTATAACATACTAAATCGAAATTATGACATAAAAAGCTGACATTACGACTATTTATGATAATTACAACTTTTAATCTGATATATGACTTTGTAAGTCATAATTGCGACTTTTTATGTCATTATGATTTACAAAAGCAAGATTTTTTTCTTATATGGCGGAAATGGTATTTATATTTCGTTATAACTTAAATCATTATCATCTTAATATGATCCTAACAAATTATCTCTATTCTGCGTTCACTTGCAAAACTTTTGAATTGCCCGAGAAAATTGTATTCGGTCATAAAACTTCTAAGAAAAATTTCCCCAGAGAAACTTTGAAATAATGAGCTGGGAGGAAATATATATCAACGCAAAAGTTATGCAAGTAAATGCAAAAACTATGATAATCTTTCTGCCATCTCAACTCTTCACCATGTCACTTTAGGTTTGGTTAACATCTTATATATCATTTCACAAGCTATCTTGAACGAACAGAGGCATGGTCTGAGATAATAGTGTATTTACCGGTATTTACCGGCGTCGAATTCTCGGAAGATGAAGAAAATATCCGTCAGATAAAAAAAAAGTAATTTCTTCACCATAATACAAACCGCCACAGTGGAATTTCCCTCAGAACGAAGCCCCGCCCATCGTTCGCTACCCAAACGCTTCTTCAATCTGATTGGTCGACACAGCTGTCCGTCATCTCGCTTCCTGCTTTGGCGAAAGTGAGGTATTATTGTGTTTTCGGAGCGATAAAGTGTAGCACTTTAAACAGAGGTGATGACTTTGTCGGTAAGTTAGCGTTTGTTGTCTATTTCAATAGGTTTTAAATCAAAACGATGCTATGACCGAGAAACATATTGCCAGGTGTGTTTAAACAGGTTTAATAATAGGAAATAATGTTTTGGTTCACTTTGCACGTAGTTTGTCCTGTATAAAATGAAAAGCGATTCGATTCAAACTTTGTTTTTTATGGTCGATTGGCACTCTTTTATTCAGTTTGGAAAATTAAACGTGTTCTGTGATGGAAACGATTTAAATGTTATTACTCGTGTTTCGTGCACGCGCAGGTTCGGGGGTGTTCACATCACAATGTCTGGCGACGCGCATCACAGTAGGAAGCCACGCCCCCAAAAAATGTACATGGTCGCGTCCGACTATCGAGTGCAGGACCAGCTGGAAGGAACCATTCGCCTGCAGCGGGGGCAGCTCTGTGTGGAGCAGGAGGGAGGAGGACACAGGGGTGGAAGAGGATACCTGTGGGTGAAGGTAAGAGAGGAATGTGTGTGGAGAGGCGTGTTCCCGCCACCTAATAAAATAAAATAAATTAATTGCGACTTTTATCTCACGAATCTGACTTTTTCTTATTTTTATTTATTTATTTTATTTTATTTTATTTGTAGAAAAAAAGACAAAAGGGACAATACATATTAATGAACATTTTTCACAAATGTAAATATGCCAGATTATAGCCATAGGCACAGTCACCTCTCATAGTGGCTCTAGTCACTCGAGACCCGACAGCACTGATAGACTTTTGTTTAATAAAATCACTCAATGGTGGAGGTGCCAGACCATGTATAACTTTATAGATTAGACAGGCTGATTTAAATAATTTGAAATTCGCAAAATTTAAAAACTTATATTTATCTAGAATATTACAATGATGATATGACGAAGGTTTCTTATCTAATATTTCCAATGCTCCCACTTGCCCAATAGCAGCATGACTCGTATAATTCCTCAACATTAGTTAATTCTTGTCCACCCAAGCAAACTTTTACTGTGGCCACAGTTGTTTTAGGTTTACTAAAAAACATTTATACAGTCTTTTTAACATTAAGACACAAGCATGAATCAATCAGCCATTTTTGCAAATCATTTAAAGCAAATGAAAGCTGATCAGCACTTTTGGCATGTGTAAAAATTACCGTATCATCAGCATACATAATCGTGTCGACATTTTTGCATACATTGGGCAAACTATTCACATACAGTGAAAATAGCAGAGGTCCCAAGATTGATCCCTGTGGAACACCCTGTGTATATTGAAGATATGGTGACTTACAATTCTTTATTTGCACACATTGTTTTCTATCCGATAAATAAGACTGTATCCATTTAACTGTTTGATTACTAAAGCCAAATGTTAACAGTCTAGACAAAAGCTTAAAGTGATTCACAGTATCAAACGCACGCTTAAAATCAACAATTATTTTGTTAAATAAAGATTAAAGATTATGTTATGTACTTCATTTTCTGTAATTATTTGAATATTAAACTTAGAGTTTAGAGTTACGGCATCCATATAAGGATATCCACAAGAGCTAGAAAACAATTGAGCGATCTCATCAATTGTATTTTGAAAATAATCATTTAATTTAGTTGCTAGGTTGAGAGGCTCTGATACCAATTCATTAGCAAATTTGAGTTCAAAGTCTTTAACAGCAATATGCTTACTTTTACCAAGGAGTTTGTTAATATTTTCCCAAATCAACTTTCAATTTCCTTTGGCACCATTAATTACAGACATGAAGAAATTAGCTTTTGCCATTCTCAAAGTTTGTGTGACTTTATTTCTTGCGGATACAAAATGTAATCGATCAGTAGTTAATCCAGATTGTGATGATTTTTTTTAGTAATTGATCTCTGAGTGTCATAAGCTGTTTACACTCACTATTGATCCAAGGCAAGGAATAAACTCGTTTCTTTAAATGAAAATGACAGAACCTTTTTAATAGAAGAATATATTAAATCACAACATTGATTAGTGTCATCACATAATACTATACTAGACCAATCAAAAGTATTTAGAGCTGCAATTAAACATTGTTCTTGGCTCTGTGGAATATACGTTTGTTTTATATGAATGTTTTTACTGACATTTCTCAATCGTTTTTTAGTCAGCTTTCTAGAAAAGAATGTGGCATTGTGGTCAGACAAGCCAGTCAGGAAATTGTACGTTTTTATTATTCTATCTGGTTTGTTAGAGAACACCGGGTCTATCAAAGTTTTAGAACAATTCATTATTAAAGTCACAGCAACTCAGAAGTGCTTTAAATTGATCATAAAAATCTACTTTTGCTGACGGCGGACGATAAAGACATAGAATAGTAAATGAAATTTCTGTTGAAAGTGACACTTTAACTCCAACACATTCAATTGATATTTCATTAGGCCAAATTATTTGTGTACATTTAAAGAGTCCTTCATATAAGCCCCTTTCACACAGAGATTCCGGAAAATACACGGATAAAGCGTGAAGGTGGAGCGTGAGGTGTCCTCTGACCTCTCGTGTGTGTGTGTGTGTGTGGCAGGTGATTGACAGCGGGTGTGTGGTGAAGGTGGAGCGTGAGGTGCTCAGTGAAGTGTCCTCTGACCTCTCGTGTGTGTGTGTGTGTGTGTGTGTGTGGCAGGTGATTGACAGCGGGTGTGTGGTGAAGGTGGAGCGTGAGGTGCTCAGTGAAGTGTCCTCTGACCTCTCGTGTGTGTGTGTGTGTGTGTGGCAGGTGATTGACAGCGGGTGTGTGGTGAAGGTGGAGCGTGAGGTGCTCAGTGAAGTGTCCCCTGAGCTCGCTGGTCTCCTGGAGCCGGTCCCGGAGCTGGATGTGCGAGTGAAGCTGCTGTCTCGGCCCCAGGCCCTGTACCGGTTCCTCTCGCTGGCGCTGGGGTCCGAGCTCAGGGTCTCCTGGAGCCGCAGCCAATCAGAGCTCGCCGAGGCCCAGCTGCGGTACCGCGGGCCCCTGACCCGAGGAAGCTCCGCCGTGTACTTCGGGGTCCAGCTCAAGGCAAGCCCGAATGTCACACGCCAACAATACACTGCAATAAATAATTAAACAAATGAATGAATGAACAAATGAATGAATATATATATATATATATATACACACACACACACACACACACATAATGAAAAATGCTTTATAAAAGCTCTTATTAAATATGTTTTCCATGTCTGTCTGCTGGTCGTGTGTGTCTCTCAGGGACGGGCTTTATAACAGCTCTTAATAAACTTGTCTCTGCTCTCTGTGTGTGTGTGTGTGTCTCAGGGATGGGCTGCAGGTCGGGGTAAGTGTAACGGCATCTACAAAGGCCGTCAGCTGTTCGTGTGTCCCGACGCCTGTGGGCTGTTCCTGCCGGTCAGTGAGATCAGCCTCCCTCGATCCTCTCGGTCCTCCAGCGACCCGCTGAGCATCCAGTCCCGATCCGCAGAGTGTGTGTCCCCGCTCGCCGTCGGCCAGAGAGTGTGTTTCCCGCAGGACGAGTGTGTGCAGCGCGGGACCGTGCAGTTCTGCGGACCCCTGTCCAGCCGGCCCGCCAGCGCCCTTTATGTGGGAGTGTTACTGGTGAGTGTTCGTCAGGTGTAAAGCTCAGTGTTAGAAAGTCAAGTCACCTTCATTTATACAGCGCTTTTAACAAGTTAGTGCAGAAGTTCTGCTTGTTAACAGCAGGTGTTCATCACTAATGGCAAGTCACTTTCATTTATACAGCGCTTTGAACAAGTTAGTATAGAAGTTCTGCTTGTTAACAGCAGGTGTTCATCACTAATGGCAAGTCGCCTTCATTTATACAGCGCTTTAAACAAGTTAGTATAGAAGTTCTGCTTGTTAACAGCAGGTGTTCATCACTAATGGCAAGTCACTTTCATTTATACAGCGCTTTTAACAATAGATTGTTTAAAAGCAGCTTTACAGAGATAACAGGATATTACAGTAACAGATTGTTTAGGCTTTACAGCAGCTCTAGAATAAAGTTATTGTCCAGATATAGTTAGTTTTTGATTGATTCCCTTCCGTTGCAAAGATCATTAGTCATTAACTTAGGGGCCGCTAACACAACACTGTTTTAACAGAAACCAGAAAACTTTTAATGCGTTCTGGCTGCTCATTTACACGACAACAGTGTTTGGAGGCTCGAAAACGCACACTTTTAAATCGGTTCCAAGGTGCAAGTTTAAAAAAATTATGAAAAACGTTATCATCTCCGCAGGGTCGGCGCCAGGACATACGGAACGAGGGGGCCTCGATGTGTCACTGGGGGGGGCCTACCTCTCCCACCCTCAAAAATAATAATACTAACAATACACACACTTTTAATTAAAAAAACAACAACCCCATCATGCCACCATATACCCGACGCGACGATACAGAGCAACTCAACATAATATTATTTCGACATAATATCTTGTTATTTCGACATAACAACTGCTGGGACATTCTAATCTGCATTAAGCCAAGCGTTCTTATAATGGTTTTCCTGGGAGGAAAATGCTTAATGTGTAGGCTAATTAAACGCGTTGCGTCAATATTCTTGGCTTATCTGTGTACAGTATAGCACTTTATTATGATTTTAGTATCATAATGATTAATAAATGCATGCACAATTATCCGTGAACTTGATAAATGTTGCAGATATGTGTTACTATACACAAAAAATGCCTTTCAACTTATGAGTGCAAAATTCTGAATTAAATGAATGTGGAGCAATTCGTACAAATAGAGAGTCTTTAGGCCTACTATACGTGTTGTAGCCATTAAATAAGTGCATTTAGTTTCATATTTGTTGAAATATTATGTTTTTTATTTTATTTTTGTTGATTATGAAAAGTGAACAGCATTAGTAAGATAGGATGTATATCAGGAGACATGGTTCAGAAATGATTTTGACCCCTTCATTACGTTTTGTTTTGTAGAGAGCCTTTCTTTAAAGTGAATTTCGTTTTGTATAAATTGTATCTTAATTTTAATAAATTTTTCATCAACCAATTGCCTGGATTTAATAAATAAGAGGCAAATATAGCAGACAATATAACCATGACATGGAGGCGCCGGCGCGATCACTTGCATTGCACGTGAACTGGAACATCTCATCATAAATTAACCGAAACTCTGCGTATGCCTCACAGACATGAGAAATATATCAATATAAAGCTTGAAATGTCTTTAAACGAAACAATTCAAAACGAAAATAAATAGGCTACTCTCTGATTATGTAATCCAATATGTGAATTTCTCTCTGTAGGCGCGTTCACGGAGAAGGCGATCGTCAACCTCATCTTGCAGCTGACACAGAAAAAAATAGTTTATTAATAAAAATCAATGCACACCTGTCACCGGATTTACAAATGCACATCTTGCTTTATGCACGCACACATATTATGTCGAAATAACGAGATATTATGTTGAAATAACATTATTAATAATAAATCTTTAATAATATTTGATTGAATGCTGAATGTCGTGCTTGTTCAATTTAGTAAAATGAAAACTTTAATTGTGAAAATTGAATATTAAATATTGAGTGCCCAAGTTTTGCTCATTTATTAATAGTATAAATATATAGGCTATATAATTGCGCAGCTCCCCTTGTCAATGATCTAGCAACTGCGTTAAAAATTCTCTGGCGCCACCCCTGACTGGCTATATATAATCAATCATATTAGTAACAAAGACAAAAAAGCAAAAACACATCTCTTTAGAAAAGCTGCAGTCGACGAGTGGAAGTGTTAAACTTTCTCAGAACGAGGTCTTTTCATTCGTTGCGTATTTTCTTCAGCTGCTAGTGACGTAATTTAGTTAATCGTGTGTGTGTGTGTGTGTGTGTGTGTTTAGGAACAAGCAGTGGGATCATGGGATGGATATTATAAAAACACCAAACTGTGCTCCATCCCGTCACCTGAGTTTGGGGCTTTACTTCCCCTTTCCAAAGTCACTGCAGGTAACCATCAAAACCAGTGTCATAAACAATGAGACCATGATGCATTTTATTATCACGATTCTTTGATGAATAGAAAGTTTAGCGTTTATTTAAAATAGAATCTTTTGTAACATTATAAATGTCTTTACTGTCACAATTTTTTTTTTAAAGACTTGACTTACTCTTAACTTTTAAATGTTAATATATCATAAAAACAAATCCGCATATTACAGTGATTTCTGAAGGATCATGTGACACTGAAGACTGGAGTAATGATGCTGAAATTCAGCTTTGATCACAGGAATAAATTACACTTTACTATATATTCACATAGAAAACAGATGATTTATTACATTACAAAAATATTTCACTATTTTTACAGTATTTTTAATCAAATAAACCCAGCTTTTGTGAGCAGAAGAGACTTTCAGGGAGAATAAATGAGAGACCGTTTTAATTTTGTTTTAGTTTTAATTTAATGTAAAATACATGTACATTGTATTAAATACATTTGAATTTAATTTAAATGTATTAAATCAATTTTAATTTTGGGCTAACTATTCAATGGCGAGATATAATCTAGATATATATTTATGTTGTCTTTTGTTCCACAGAAACTCGATCTGAACGGCCTCCTTTGACAGTAATCAATCCCAGACCGCTTCCCAAACTGCCTCTGTCGCCCCTCGGCAATAAACCCGCTGTCCAGATGACCACGCCCTCCTCTCCAGGGGCCACGCCCACATCCCCGATGGCCACGCCCACCTCTCAGACGGCCACGCCCACAGACAGACCCCTCATCCAGGCGGCCATGTTAGTGACGGCTAAAAAAGCCCTCCAGCCTCCGTCGTCCTCTGTGCCGAAAGCCGCTCTGAAACCTCCTCCGCTGGCCCCGCCCACCAGGCCTCAGGCCCCGCCCACCTCCCCGCCCGCTGATCACTCGCGCTCGTCAAACGGATTCCACAACCTCCCCTCTCCACCAATCGCTGAGCAGAGGGCGGAGCTTGCCGCGTGGTTAGAGGTGGGATCAATGGTGGAAGTCAATGACCCGCCCCTTTTCGGAGTGATTCGCTGGATTGGACAGATCAGCGGCCTATCAGAGCCAGTCGCTGGAATCGAGCTGGTACTCGAACAACTCTCACTTAGGAAGAATACTTAACCTTACAAACTTTGTTACACATCTTTCCCTCGTGGGTCAAAATGACCCGAAGCCCTAAAAGTATACTTTTTTTTTTTTTAGAAATCTTATTTTATTTCATTTTGATAATATTTTTTAATGAGATTCTTAGTTATTTTTATTTGATTTACTTTTAAATGACTAGATTTGATCAATAAATAAATAGTCATTTAAGCACATTCCTCACATTCTTTCAACTTAAATTCAAAATAACTCACAATTTTATGCATAACCCTTTTAATTCAGCTCTAAATATCTTACATTGGTAGTCTTTGAACTCTTGTGGGAAAAATAATAATAATACATGATATTTCATGCCTCTAGATGGGCTTATAGCTCTATATGGAGCAGAGGAGCTGTTCCGCTGGGGCCTAAAGCCAGTTTATCTTCAGTATGCATTCAGATACACATGTAGACATTATACAATTAATATAACATATATAATTAGATAAGAATTTTGAGCATTTTTAGTTTTTTTCTATGTCTACTGAAGCATTCCTCGCATTCCACTCATTCCTAAGGGGGTCAAATTGACCCGTGAGGGAAGAATTTGTTACTTTTTAAATTTCAATCAAGTGATGAACACTCAATTTTTATACGTTTCGGGTCAAAATGACCCGAGGGAAGGATGAGGGTATACTAATAAATCATTTATTATTAATGATAAAGGTGGTTTATGTTAAGTGTTTTGCTTGTCAGGATCAGGAGCTGTCCGCCGCTACGGATGGCAGTTACCTCAGCGAACGCCACTTCCGCTGTCCCGCTAATAAAGGGCTGTTCGTCAAGCTGAGGAACTGCAGACGCGACTCCAGGTTCCCGGAGCCCGAGCCGCCCATTAATCAGGTCGATCGCTGCAACTCCATCGGTGCGTTCCCTTTTATTTATATATTCATATAGCGCTCGACACAATAGACACGGTTTCAAAACAGCTTTAAAATATAGATTTCATAGAATGCATAATATAATATATTATGAGTGTTAGAATGCATAAAGTTGCAAAATGTCAGCAAAAATTCTCAGTTAGTAATTTAATTAAATAAACATGCCTTAATATTTATGCATAACCTATGATAATGCATGCATTTGCAAAATATATAATAATGCATATTATTACTGCAAAAATATTACAGCAATAATGTCTTACATTCTGTAGTGTCTTTATTTAACAATGTATGGAAATTATGCCCTAATATAATAATAATAATAATACATAATATCGCAAAATATATAATAATGCATATTATTCTTTTAGCAGACGCTTTTATCCAAAAGCAACTTACAAAAAGTATTGCAGCAAAATTCTTGTATGGTCTTCATTTAACGATTTAATTAAAGTGAGATTGTGCGGTAATATAGATGTGTTGCAGTGAGTGTGTGTGTGTGTGTGAGTGTGTGTGTGTGTGTGTGTGTGTGTTCCAGCGTTTACTAACTGGAGCAGTGTGTGTGTGTGTGTGTGTTCCAGCGTTTGCTAACTGGAGCAGTGTGTGTGTGTGTGTGTGTGTGTGTGTGTGTGTGTGTGTTCCAGCGTTTGCTAACTGGAGCAGTGTGTGTGTGTGTTTCAGCGTTTGCTAACTGGAGCAGTGTGTGTGTGTGTTCCAGCGTTTGCTAACTGAAGCAGTGAGTGTGTGTGTGTTCCAGCGTTTGCTAACTGGAGCAGTGTGTGTGTGTGTGTGTGTGTGTTCCAGCGTTTGCTAACTGGAGCAGTGTGTGTGTGTGTTCCAGCGTTTGCTAACTGGAGCAGTGTGTGTGTGTGTGTGTGTGTTCCAGCGTTTGCTAACTGGAGCAGTGTGTGTGTGTGTGTGTGTGTTCCAGCGTTTGCTAACTGGAGCAGTGTGTGTGTGTGTGTGTTCCAGCGTTTGCTAACTGGAGCAGTGTGTGTGTGTGTGTGTGTTCCAGCGTTTGCTAACTGGAGCAGTGAGCGTGTGGAGGACAACACTCCTCCTGTGTCGGGTCTGGACGCCCGGATGACGTACGAGGGCTTCAAGAAGGGCATTCAGGGTCACCTGAACTCCTGCTACCTGGACGCATCTCTCTTCAGGTACACACACACACACACACACACTCACTCCTCACTGTAGACCCATGTTCAAAA